GCTACTAATATAGTAAAATTTTATATTATTTAATACATAGCGATAGCAATACAACTATTAAAAATAAAAAATAAAAAATATTTAAACATTATTTATTTAAGTTGTTAAAATTAATAATTATTGTACAAATTTTATCGTCGATTTCCCATACCACCAAGACCCATTTGTTTCATCATGTTTTGCATTTGGCTTAAATCTGGCATACCACCACCTCCTCCTAAGCCACCCATCTATAAATAAAAATTCATAAATAATTTACATTAAATAATAATACAATACAAATAGTGTTTAAAATTCAATGTTTTTAGTATTCTCTAAAAAAAACATCAATCAAATTTTAATATTAAAAATATGTTCTCTATTTGAGAACATCCAATAATTTCTTAATATTAAAATAATTTTGAAACATTAAAGGCTCAAAGCATGCTTTTTTGAGAACATAAAATTAAAATTGGATTTTAAACACTAGATACAGTAGAGCTTATTGATTCCTTATTTGAATAATATTCAAATTATTTAGAGCAGTAAATATTTATTCGAATATTCGCCGAATGACTAAGATTATTCGAATAAGTACTATTTTATTCGAATAATATATAAAATTCATTCAAATAATATAGTTATTGGATGTGAAGTAGAAGTTTCACATGATAAATAATGAAAATTATTCGAATAAATTAACTTATTCGAATAAGATTGGTTTATTTGCATTATTCATCAAATAATTATTTGAAAACCGAATATGAACAAATATGTAAGCTCTAAATCCAAATGTTTGAATAACTAACCATTTGTCGCATCATATTGTTCACACCTGGTACTCCGCGAGGAAGTAACTGAAATGACATAGATTATTAAATTTAAAGATCCATTTAAGCATATTACAGTGTTTAAATAAATATAAAAATCTATTATACCTTTTGCATCTGTGCCATTTTCTGTTGCATTTGCTGAGGAGACATCTTTGCATCCATTCCTGAACCCATTCCTTTAAATATAAAAAATATTATTTAATGTTGTAAGATTTTACGCAAAACTAAATTAAATGTAATAATATTAACCTTTGAGTAATCCTTTGTTACCGCCAAACTTCTTTACCATTCCCTGGAATTCCTTGTGCTGTATTAGAAGTTCTTCGACCTCTCTAACTGTTGTACCGGAACCTTGTGCCACACGCAGTATGCGAACAGGCTGTTGTATAAAAATTTTACCATCAGAATCAAGTTCTGATTCACTCATACTGTCCATAATAGTCATCAATCTATAAATTAAGTAGGTCAAATTAATATAAATTAACAATATAAATACTTCAATTACGAGATAAATACCTTTTAATTCGTTGTGCACCGAGTTCGTCAGAACCTTCAAGATTCATCTCAGACATACCTGGCATCATTTGCATCATTTTCGATAATGGACCCATTTTTGATATGTTTTGAAATTGTTCATACATATCTCTGATAGTAAAAATACCTACGAGCATATAACATATTCAAAAACACGAAATCAATACCATATAAAGAAATATATATTATGTGTAAACGATAATTAATTAATTGTTTATAAACAAACCCTGCTCCAAATTTTTCATCAAGTTTTTGTTCTGGTCTAATTTTAAATCCTGTACAGTTTCAAAAAGTCCGGTCATATCACCCATACCTTTTTTAAAGATTTTAACATAAATAAATATTTATAATTAATAATAATTATAATAGAAGAAAAATAAATATTAATAGAGACAAAAAGGCAGAAACTAACCCAGCATTTTTTGAACAAATCGCCTAGGTTCAAATCTTTCCAAGTCATGAATGTGTTCACCGGTACCAATAAAAATAATTGGACTATGAGTTGCAGCAACACTTTAAATGCATTTTAAAGATATCAATGGGAAAATAAAAGCTTAAAAAACAAGAAGTACATTATATTTTGAGCACAACATAAACTCATACCAATGCCTTACGCTGATATAGCCCCACCGCCCTTTGCATGACCATCCATTTTAGTTATTATAATAGATCCAATATCAGCAGCTTCATGAAAAGCCTTTGCTTGAGATTCAGCAGCTTGACCGATTGTTCCATCCATTACAAAAATGGTATTATCAGGATTCTAAAATGTGATTGACATAGTATTAATGATAATATTCATGATAAAAATACTAATAATAATCCTAATAATAATAATACTAATGCAAATAAATACTAATAATACTATGCTAATAAAAATATATAATAATAATAATAGTACTAATAAAAATACCAATAAAATAATTTTATTATTATTATCATCATTATTACTATTATCATCATTATTACTATTATGTTATAAATTGTCATTTTAAAATCTTAGCTTACAACTACAGCAGAAATTTGCTTCATTTCTTCAAATAATTCTGCTTCTTGTTTATGTCTTCCGGAAGTGTCTACGATTATTATTTCAAAACCATCTTTTTTAAATTTTTCAACACCTTCATGAGCTATCTGAACGGGATCTGTCTCAGTGTAGCTATTATAAATAATAAAAAATCAATAATAATAGTTAAAAAGGTAATGCAAGATTCTGAATGTGGTGCGAACCTTCCATAATACGGTATTTTTGCCTTAGTAGCATTTTGTTTCAATTGATCAAATGCACCAGCACGAAACGTATCAGCACATACTAGGCATACTTTCCAACCTTTTCGTTGATAATGGTATGCCAACTATTACAAACAAATGAAATAGATGATATTAGAACTATCATAAAAAAAAAAAAAAAATATTGGTATATAATGATATACTGCACTTTTGTACACGTTGTTGTTTTACCGCTGCCTTGTAAACCCACGAACATTATAATATTGATTGCACCCTTTTTCGGTTTATATGGTTCGCAACCTGGTTCAACAAGTTGACAAAGTTCATCCAGAACAGCCTAATAAAAATTATTACAAGAAATAAAAAACATTTAAAAAGAAATTTCAACAAAAATCCGAAAATAATCTAAGGAATCAACGTACTTTCTGTATGACTCTCCTTTTATTAATTCCAGCGGCAAGTTCTTGAATGTTCACGGCAGTTTTTACATTATTTCTTAAAGTTCCGACTAAGCGAACGTTTACGTCAGCTTCCAGAAGTGCATGACAGATTTCTTTCAACACAGCATCAAGTACCTTTTGAATAATTATAAAGAATTATTATATTGATCTAATTTGCTTATACGATGAAGTGAAAAACGTACTTTTTCGTCGATTACAGGCTCCTTATTAATTTTAGCTAGAGCTGCGTTGATCCGACGTCCAAGATCGGCTAACACCATTATTTTAAAGTAGATTCAATATGTAGATTTTGAATGAAAATGTCAAATCAAAGAAAAAAAATTCGGCTTTTTTTAAAAGATATTACTGTATTGACTAGGAAAACAGTAACTGTTGTATAATAGCCAATCATTTGTAATGTATATCACGTGGTCGGACAGACGGACAAAATTTTACTCAGATCTCTAGTACAGTACGTACAACGATCAAATGTAAGTCCTAATGAATGTTGCACGGTATATCACGTGAGCATTACTCGCTATTTTCGAAAAAGAATTTTCAAGTTTATTTAGTTATATACAAGCTCATATAATTAATTGAATAGATATTTTCTCACTTATTATTTAGTTTGTTAGCGACAGGTTTTGAGAGGAATGCATTAGGAATTAGAAAAATCGATCGCATCGTATTATCACGATTCATTAGACGGATTGAACATATATCAGATATCTGACGTGATTGTAATTTGCAGATACATCGTAAGCAGAACACTGAGAGCATCAAATATTCTTCACTGATCGTAGTACAGTATTTAATGATCTCTTTTTATTAGACTTGTATTATACAGTATTTTTAATCTGTCTTTTTTTACGCATTGCAGTATTGGCATTTAAATATTTGGCCATTTTTTTTATTAGTTATGATATGGTATAAATCATATATATTTTGAAGTCTTTTAACAACACACATTAATATTCCGTATTTGGGGTATACTTCTTGACTTTAAAGAGTAATTAATAAGCGATTGATATTAAACGAATGTTATTGAATAAAATGCGAATACTAAATTTAATAAACTTTGATTTTAATAATTTATCTAATTAATTTCGATTTTTTATCTTTCTTTTTTTTTTAATTAAAAAATTCATAATGTAAAATTTATATTGTCTTTTTTTTTTTTTTTTTTTTTTTTTGTAAATATCACTCATCCAATAACCAGTAACTCATCGCTTTCAAAATCATATTCAGGAATTTCAAGATTAAGTGGAGCAGGACCTTTTCGAATTCTACCAGATATATCGTAATGAGAACCATGGCATGGGCAGTACCAACCTCCGTAATCACCAGCTTCACCAATTGGAACACAACCTATTAAACAATATATATGCATAAGTTTAAAAGGTCATAACTTAAGTAATAAATAATAATAGTAATAATAATAATGCATTACCTAAATGCGTACACACACCCTGTAAATAGAAAAAAAAAAAAAAATGAAAAAATGAACAAATTTATTAAATGACATAATTAAATATAAAATATCATAAAACTTACGAGCATAACTAGCCATTCAGGTCTTTTAACTCTGTCAGCATCATTTTGAGGATCTCTAAGTTCAGTTAATGAAGTTTCATTCGCCTCAGAAATTTCACTAGCAGTTCTATGTCTAATAAAAACAGGTTTACCACGCCATTTTATAACGACATTTTTACCCTCAGGAATCTTTGTTAAATCTACTTCAACTTTAGCTAAAGCTAAAATATCAGCAGATGCACTCATATTCACAAGAAAATCTGTGATAAAATTTTTTGCACCAACAGCTGTTAAAGCTCCTGTAGTTCCAACCATCAAATAGGCAAATGCTCGAGATGTATTTTCATCAGTATTTTTTCGATATTTAGAAAAGTCAGGAACTATAGTTGATTTACTAGAATCTACAATGGCAGATGAAGAAGATAGGCGCCTCTGAAAATTACCATTTAAAGGGGCAGCTTAAACAAAAGAAAGAAATTATTAGTTTAATATATAAAAAAAATTTTTATTATATTAATAAGCTATTATAAGCTTCAGGGCTGCTTAAATAAAGTAGTTATTTAACATTGTAAGATAAATAAGCTTACCATTTAAAACGGTTTTTGAAAGGATCGAACCGTCAGGTCGTCGTTTAGCGCCAACGGCCCAAGAAGGGCTAGGGGAAACATGAAAGTCACTACGAAAGTTGTTGGAGGTTTCAAATACCTTTTTGATGGCAACCGCAGTATACGGTGCGTTAATAAAAGTGCGATTAACGGTGGCAGTAACAATCCTTGGTGAAACAGCCATAATGAATGAACGAAAAAAAAAAAAGAGCGATTGAAAATTTTACGATTATGGTTGCACAACAGGGACCTTCAAAAATCACGGGTCGACGATCATTTTGCGGTTCTAAGATCGACAAGTTACCAGAACTAGTTGGACTTGGTCTAGACTGAATCAACTGAACCAGCACATATAGTACTATCGCTATACCGATACTGTTTATTTCTGAACCAGTTCAGGCTTTTGAGTAAACTAGTTTAAATTTCAAGATGTTTTAGTTTCATGTGATAGTTAGAAAGAGAGCAAAGATTGCATGATTATCGTTATGTTTATTAAACATTTGTAAATGAATATCCCTACTTTTATTCCAGTATTCACGATCTCACCTTTATCACGGGTCTTTTTAAAACGTATCCCGATATAAATCAAATTGAATTCCTCAAATTGTCACAAGATATAATCGTATTCCGGAACCCTATTCACATCAAAATTTCATCAAACCATATAATAAAGATTTTAATATGATTAAGGGTGTTCTCAAGTACTGTACCTAAATCATAGCAAAATCAATGGATCGGAGATCAATTTTTAATTAGTGAAAAATAACGAAAAATAATTTTTAACTAATTAAAAATCGATCTTCCGATCCATTGATTGAGAACACCCTGTCATTCTAACGCTAATTATTTCCACCAAGTCATATTGTTCGAATCAATTAATATATCATCCATAATAACAACACTTAAATTTATAGTATTGACGACCAGACTCTGCATAATTTATTTATACTATTATGACGAGAATCGTAAGTCAAAAGTATCAAAATGAATAAATGACCTTACAATAGTATGTTTCATTAATCTTGTTAAGATAAAAGTCGAACAAATCGTTCTTGTGTATTTCTTAAAATACAAAAATAACTTATTAATCAAAAAATGGTCCATAGTAAGTTATTATTAAGTATAAATTTTTCGAAGGATCTTAATCGCAATTTTTTTGATGTGAATAAAATTTTTCATTTAGTAAATTTAGAAAAGCAATCAATTTGCAAAGTCCCAAGGTGTGATCGTCCCGTTTATGTTGAAAAAAATGGGTATTTATTTTTCTACATTTTTTACTACATTTTTTACTACAAGAGTACCTAACATCCAATTTTCATGATTAGTTATATGCACCCTTATTGTGGAAAAACCTGCGCACGTTCTTCTTGCGATTCCGGCTTTCCCAATAGTCATCAAGGAGGATCTTGTAAAATCAACGGATGTGATAAACCCTGCTATGTCGAACCATCTGGTGTTCGTCACCCATATTGTTCAAGAACATGTGCCAAAAAAGATTTACAGAATTCTGTTGAGAATAAAACTACCCAAGAATATAATGAGGTTGAGAAAGAATTATTTTGGGATTTTAGTTAAATTATTATATATTTTTTATTTTCTTTTGAATGTAGTATGAATTACTGAAGGTATGTAATATTGAAGTATTATATACTATTAATAAAGATTCATTGTTTAAATGCATGTCTATTGATATGGCATGGGGAATACACAACTTATTTAACTCTTACTGCATAAGTCTTAATCAAATCTACTTTCGTTAAACTCTTCTGATCCAAAATCCCGAAAACTGACATACAGTACATTTATTGTT